GTACCATCATATTTGCGCTTTCCTTGGAAATCAAAACATTTTCGATTAATTTCACCAACAGGAATAACACCCCAAAATTTTAATTTTGATAAAATATCCTTATCATTAATGTAAACAGGGATATTCATAAATGAAACCACTTTGATGCGAGATTCAATAAATTTGCAATGAAAACCCGCTCCATCAGCCAATAAACCATCATTTGCTAAATTCTTAGCTACATCGTGATTTATGAGAGTAACATCAAAGAAATCACGTCCAGGAACACAAGCCAAAACGGAATCTTCACCCAGCTGATCTTCAATAAATCTAATGACTTCAATAGCTTTATACTTTTGATGATCATTTATTTGAACCTTTACGGTATTGCGTTTAACAAGTAGCGTCACATCAGGTTTAGACGCCATATTGTTAATATAGTTTATAGACTGTTTAAACAGCCGGGCCAAAAGGCCCAAATAACAAGGAAAAACCTCTATAAACAAAAATACTTCTCAACAAAATGTCAATCAATGTTTTCTTTGTTGTAATAATCAATCATAAGGTAGAAATTGCAGGTTAAACTCCAGGATTACATTGGATTTATAGTGATCGAAATGAAACACGTATCTCTCCTATAAACAGCAAGCCGGAACCAAACTTGAGATGTCACGCCTTAACCACTCGGCCACCTCGTCACATGCCTTCCGCATGTCCAATGCGTTTTGTTTCTCAGGCAATTGGATCGAATATTATTCATTCCGTTAAAACAAAAAGTGTCTGCCGCCAGAGTTCAGCACTCCTGCCGAAACCCGGGATCGAACCAGGGACCTTTAGATCTTCAGTCTAACGCTCTCCCAACTGAGCTATTTCGGCCGACAAAAGATATGTTTTCATCTTGTGATTCATTTTAGCATTTCCTCTCTGTACATATCAGGTAAATATCCTGATTTTTTGGGGTATTATATAACAAATCAACCAAGAGCCCGACGATAGCTCAGCTGGTAGAGCGGAGGACTGTAGTGTTGTGTAGTTATCTGTTATCCTTAGGTCGATGGTTCAAATCCGTCTCGTTGGATATTCGTTTTTCTTTCCATTCATGCTAGTATTGATAATTCACCACAGCATGAAATATTGAGTACTGAGATTAGAATTGAGAAAAAAAAGTTCTCAGCCCCCAGGGAGGATCGAACTCCCGACCCCTGGTTTACAAGACCAGTGCTCTAGCCACTGAGCTATGGAGGCTTGAGAGCGACAGCTGTCTCAGGGTTTTGTACGGTCATTGCATCACATACAACATTCTCTAGGTTATTTAATGGATCGATAAAGATTTAC